CTCGTGTATAGCTTTTTCAACTAGTTTCTTTCACTTAAAATTTGTATTTAAGCTTCACTTAGGGTTCTTTTTGTGACTTGATAACTCATTTTTTATCATTTAATAATATTCCATTGTATGGCTATACAATGGATTATTTCTCCATCCACCTATTGAAGGACATTATGGCTGCTTCTATTTTGGGGAAAATGATGACTACAGCTACTATAAATATTTCTTTTCTTTTCTTTTTTTTTTGTCTTTTTGAGACAGGGTCTCACTATGCAGTTCAGGCTGGCCTTGAGCTCACTTTGTAGCCCAGGCTGTTCTCGAACTCACAACGATCCTCCTGCCTCAGCCTCCCAAGTGCTGGGATTACAGGCATGTGCCACCATGCCTGGCTGCTGTAATTATTTCTGTGCAGGCTTTTGTAAGTTTTTAACTCATTTGTGTAAATGGTCAGGGTTGCAATAGCTGCATCAAATGGTAAGCCTACATCCAACTTTCTAAGAAACTGCCAAACTCTTCCAGTGTGGCTGTATCCTTATGTATCATAATTACAACAGCTTGTGCTTTTAAATCCTTCTGGCCTTTGCTATTCTGTTTTTTGCTATGATGTGTGTACCCGTAGATTTTTTCCTATGTATCTTTCTTAGGATTCATGAGGCTTCCCGAGTCTGCAGACTGGAGTTGATCATCCTTTCTGTGTCATTCTCACCCATCACCTCTTATACAGCTCCTGCTTCTGACACTCCTTTCCTTCTAGACCTCACTTGCAGTGCACTGCCTTTCTGTCCTTGATATTTCTGAGTCCTAGCTGGTATTTTCCGTTTCTTTTTCTCTCCCTGAAGCATTCTGTATAGTATCTTCCAGTTCATGATTTTTTTCTTCAGCTCTGTCTTTTCTGCTGATTAACAGTTTCACACAAGCCAATGGCAGATCTCATACGCTGGTATCACAGCTCCCAGAGATGTTGGTTGTTCTGACTTAATTATGCAGCTCAATGTTCAAGAAAATAGTTAGGCCGGGTGATGCTCATGCTTGTGACCCCTGCACTCAGGAGGCTGAGGCAGGAGGATCACAGCGAGTTCGAGGCTAGCCTGGGCTACACAGTGAGTTCAAGGCCAGGTTGGACTACATACTGAGATCCTGTCTCAAAACAAAACAACACCAAGCCAAATAAACAAACAAAAAAGAAAGCAGTTAGACCTGTCTGGGGAGGCCGAGGGTGAGGAGTACCCACTGAGCTTTGTAGAACTCTGCACCTCAGTGCTATCTATGCACTGCACTCTGTGTACGAGACAGCAGGCCACTGTGTGGTTGCACTGGATACACCAGGAGGCCCCTGTCTCATGTGAGGTGCTCTACTGGGCTGGGAGGGGAACTGAGATTCCCAAAGCTCTGATGGGACTCTTGTTCAGACTTAGCATCTGTGACAGCGCGTCTACCTGCAAGGCCCTTTGGGAACTTAGAACTGATGCTCAGCCCCTGCATTGGGGCTGACAGTGGGGAGGCAGGCCGGTGGCTGGTAAGGAGGCACTGACTGTCAGGTGCACGGGTGCTGACCCAGGGCCCTGGCTGCCCTCCCTGGTCCCAGCCTCCCACGCGGTGGACAACACGGCTGACTTTTCAGCTGAATATCCTAACTGTTGACTTCTATGTTTCAGACTCATTCAGGTGTGTCTGTGTGGTGCGGTCCCTCTGAGGTGAACCAGAACCTCCTATTCACTTGGAGAGTGGGTGGCTGAACAGTCTTTCAGGAAGCGTTTTAACTTTAACAATTATATTTCGTTGCTAAAGATTGCCCTGTCTCCCCGCACCCTTTGCGTACTCAGATTTTCTCTCTCCTTGCTACAAACACACCACATCTGCAGTCAATCAGCTCAACACCTAAGATTCCCATTGCTTCTGCCGTCTCTCCTAGTACTTCCTTCCTTACGTGATAGGTGATCTTTGCTTACATAAACTATATCTGTGAGGGTTTTTGCTGCCTGGGTGGAGAGTGAGTCCCCAGGTGGGATCTGTTTTTATCCCTTGGGGGTGGGAGGCCCAGAGGCACAGGAGATATCTGAGCCTACTTTCAATTCCAATTCTCTGTTTCTATTTTTTTTTTTTTTTCCCTGCTTCTATTTTTAAAAAGGACCTCACAGATACTGGAGTTTCAAATTCTGAATCCACCCAAGGAATGATCATGTTCATGTTCTTAACGGACAAAAGACTAAAAAAAAATTTTTTTTTAACTCAAAGTCAAGGGCCAGGGACATAGCTTAGTGGCACAAGTGCCTGCCTGGCAAGTGCAAGGTCCTGAGTTCGATTTCTGATACCAAAAAAAAATTAAAAAATAAAAATAACTCAAAGTCAAGACATCATCCCTTGTTCTCAGACTTTGCAGAAAGTTTTTATTTTTTAATTTGGTACATCTTTTTCCTAAAAGTGTAGCCTTTTTGGGTCTCAGCTTTTTACAAGGGGTGGTGGTGCTGTGGGTGGAACCCAAGATTTCATGCATGCTAAGCAGCTGCTGGACCCCAAGTCGCACCCTAGTCCTCAGGTCCAGCCGTGCAAGGTGTGTTCTCTGCTCACCCTGTGTCTGCTGCAGGCTTTGAGCCGCTTCCCAGGGCCATGGACCCATCCACAGAAGCCTGAGGACCCCTGAGCACCCAACGGCACCGTGCTCACTCACCCCGTCATCTTGTGCTTTCGCCTCATCCTTTACCTAAGCAAATCATTCTCCTTTCTTGCAGTCCATTCATCCAGTCATTCTTGCAAGTTTTCAAATAGTTTTGAGCATCTGTACTCCTTAGAGAACAGGAAACTTAGGGTCTCTAATTCATCTCATTGCC